AAAAGGCAGGTGCTGGCTTGAGAGGGAGGTCTAAAGAGACACCCCCTTTTTAACTCTGTCTTTCCTTTGAAGCGTTTTCAGTCTCTCCTCTCTCTCCAACCCTCCTGCACTATGACCGGAGTGGTGACCAGCCCAAGACCTCAGTCTTCCTTTATTTATGATGGGTGGGGGCTGACCACCCACCCTCCCAGTCTCGGGATGAGTCTGGGACTTCCTCCTGTCCCCGTCTTCCTGTCCCTGAACCCTCCTCCCTGTCCCCGAGCTCTCTCTTCCCTCTCACTTTTCTTGGCCTCATTTTACTCTGACAGGAGTAAATGATTATTTTTCTCTTTTTTTTTTTTTTTTTTACATTTTTGTATAGAAACAAATTCATTTAAACAAACGTATTATTATTATTATTTTTTACAAAATATATATATGGACATGCTCCCTCCCCCTCCCCTCGCAAACTCCCCAGTGCCCCTGTGGGGCTGCGTGTGTGGGCCCTTTTGGCCAAGTTGGAGTCTGTGTACCGAGTACACAGGCGTGACTGGGATCCCGTGTACCGAGTACATGACCCTAGTATGTACCAAGTAGGCACCCTTGGGCACGCCCTCCGGGGGCCAGGGGTCGAGGGAGACTTGGGAGCCTGCGTCCTCCCCTCCCCACCTCCCTGACTTCACCGCATTCCAGATTGGGACTTGTTTTGTAGCCTTGTGGGGGAAGAGCCCACCTCCTGGCTCCCTCTTCTTAAAGCCTGGGCCACCTCCCTTTGGGAACAGGGGAGCTGACGGTGGGACATGGGGGCCCAGGGATGTGTACATTTCACTTTGAATCCCTGTAAACACAGGAATACAGGAAGGGGAGGAGCTGCCTGGTGGTGCCTCCTCTTCCTGATGTTCCTCTAGCCCAGCCTCATGGCAGAGTAGAAGTATTTTTAGGCTATTTTTGTAATATGGCTTCTGGTTACAATCCCTGTGTAGCTGAATTCCCAGGTCTTACATTGTACAGTGCCCCACTTCCCTCAACACCTAATAAAGGAATAGTTAACACCCAGTGTTGTTGGTCTGTGTCTAGGTAAGTTGGGGAGTGGTGGTGGTAGGGCTTCTGTTCTCCCAAGGCTAACTCAAGCTCCCATTTTGGGGTAACCCATTTGGCTTTCCTGCCCTTCCTCTTTGGCAGATGACTGCTGATTGGATAAGAGGTGGTCATCTGACTTAAGATGAGCCAATCAGATTCCTTCCCTCCAGAATGTTTTTCTTTTTTTAAAGAGATTTTTGCTATAGGGGTCCTGAACTCTGGGAGAGGCAGAGGTACAGTGAGAAGTCAACCCCTTCTCCCCACCTGGAAGAATGGCCACATGGCCATCTCTTTTCTTTCATGCTCCTCTTGGGATTTTGGATGCACACACGCACCAAGTGTGAGTTTTGAGTCATCAGGTCTGGACCTTGAACCGTAGTCAACCGTGTGAGAGTTCAAAGCCTTAACCACTGTGCCACCTGCTGGCCCACTCCAGTACTTTTTTGTTTTTGGAGAGGTTTGTCACTATAGGGCTTGTGCGCTCACCAGACAGACAGAGACATAGAGACAGAAAGCAAGAAATCACCCCCCAGGGGGGATGGTCACACCACAATCCCTTCTCCTCCATTCTCCTCTTGGGATCTTGGGCATGCACGCACACGTGCCCTGTGTGAGATTTAAGCCCCCGAGTCCAGGACATGAACCACGGTCGACTATGTGGGAGTCCAGCGACATAGCCATTACGCTAACTGCTGGTTCCCTCCAGCAGTTTTATTTTTTAATGGAGATGCTAAGAAAGTTGTCAGGTTTTTTGTTTGTTTGTTTGTTTTTGTATAGGGCAAGCGCACTTGTAAGAGAGAGAGAAAGAGAGAGGAGGGAAAGTGAGAAAGTAGCTCTCCTCCTGCCCTCCCCATCTCTGGCTCACGTTGTAAGCTCTTCTCCATTTTCCTTGTGGGATTTTTTGGCACGTTTGTAAATGCACCTGTGTGTTTTTCAAGACTCCATGACTTGAATGATGCAGTTGGCCAAAAGGGACTTAGTAGACTTAACCTCCCATGCCATCTGCTGGCCCCTTGGTAGAGCTTTTAAGGTCACAGGCAGATTAAGAAATATTACATGCCTGCCTGGCATGTTTCAGGCTGACTAGGCCAGGGATTCAACCCACAGTCTTCACGTGGGATCTGGCTTCTCTTGAATAGCACATGACCATGTGCTGCAGAGTCAGCCTGAGATGTACTAAGTTTATTTATTTAGAATTATTTAATTTTATTTATCATTTTTTAAAAAAGATTTATTGACTTTTATTCATAATAATGATTATTATTTTTTAATTTGACCAGAGAGAGACATAAATAGAGGGAAAGTGAAAAAGCAAGCCTCTGGGTCTGGGACTTAAACTGTGGTCAGCCATGTGGGAGTTCAGTGTCTTAATCACCATGTCACCTGCTGGCCCTGCTATTATTATTTTTAATTTTCTATAGGGTACATGAGCTCATGAGAGAGAGAGAAAGTGATAAAACAAGCTGCTTGGTCTGGGAGTTGAACCACAGTCTGCCATTTGAGAGTCCAGTGCCTTAATCCCTATGCCACCTGCTGGCTCCAAGATGTACTAGGTTTTTTTTTTTTTTAATTATTTATTGGAAACAGCAGATTATGTAATAGCTATCTGGATTCTGACATAGTTGACTGTAGTTTAAGTCCTGAACCTGGTGGCTTAAAACTTATACTGGTGCATGTGCATGCATGCCCAAAATCCTGAGAGAAGTATGGAGGCAAAGGGATTGCGGCATGGCCATCCCCATTGGGGGGTGATTTCTCACTTTCTGTCTTTCTCTGTCTCTCTGGCAAATGCATGTGCCCTATGGTGTGAATTTTTAAAATCTTTTTCTCTCTCGAATAAAGAATTATTTAATTTTATTTATTATCATTGTTATTTTAAAATTTGGTACAGGCATTCACTAGAAAGAGAGAGAGAGAGAAAAAAATGAAAAAGCAAGCTGCCATGGTCAGCCATGTGGGAGTTTAGCACCTCAACTCCCATGTCACCTGCTGGCCCTGATGTGCTAGATTTTTAAAGCATTTATTGGGCCAGCAGGTGGTGTGGAAGTTAAGGTGCCAGATCTCACATGGCCAACTTTGAGGTCTGAGCCCAGATTGGGTGGCTTGTGTATCCATGCCCAAAATCCCAAGAGGAGACTGAAGGAGAAGAGATTGTGGTGTGGCCATCCTCCTGGAGGGTGGTTTCTCACTTTCCCTCTCGGTATCTACCTCTGTCTCTCTCTGGAAAGTGCACATGCCCTATAGCAAAAACTAAAGGAAAAAAACCCAAACATTGAAAAAAAAATCTGCTCTGGAGACCAGCAGATGGCATGGTGGTTAAGATGCTGGACTCCCACGTGGACCTGATGACTTGAAAATCATGCTGGGTTTGAGTGCGTGAGTAGCCAAGATTCTGAGGAGAATGGAGAAAGGATTATGGCATGGCCATACTCACCTCCTTGAGGGTAATTTCTCACTTTCTCTCTCTCTGTCTCCCTCCCATGAGTGCACATACCCTATGGGGACAAAAAAATCTTAAAAAAAAAAAAAGAAAGATAATCTTGCTGGGTGCATGTATGTGCATGTCCAAAATGGCTTGAAAAATCATCCTCTGAAGAGAATGGAGAAAGGATTAAGGTGTGGCCATCGGCCCTGGGTGGCGATTCCTCACTCCCTCTCACTGTCTTTCTCCAGCGAGTACACGCACCTGATGGCAAAAACCTTAAAAAAGGAAGAGAAGTCTGCTCTGTAACTGGGGGAGCAGGGTAAATTTAGAAACAATTAAGTTTGCAAAAACATGAAATATGTGCTCTGAAGAGAATGGAGAAAGGATTAAGGTGTGGCCATCGGCCCTGGGTGGCGATTCCTCACTCCCTCTCACTGTCTTTCTCCAGCGAGTACACGCACCTGATGGCAAAAACCTTAAAAAAGGAAGAGAAGTCTGCTCTGTAACTGGGGGAGCAGGGTAAATTTAGAAACAATTAAGTTTGCAAAAACATGAAATATGTGGAAGCCACTAATAAATGTTCACTCCACCTCTCCCCTCCTTTTGCTGTCTTTTTTTTTTTTAAAGTGACATTTATAATGTATTTGGCAATCAATATGTAATTATATATTTAAATTTTAACTTACATATGGAAGATCACAGCCAAGGAAGTTAGTTACAATTTAAAATTTTATCACCACCTATATTTTTAAAGAATTATTTTATTTAACTTTATTAATTATTATTATTATTATTTTGGAGAGGTTTTTGCTATAGGGCACGTGC